AAAGACCTGCGTTTGAAAACTCTGGTTCAACTGTCCCCACAAATGGACTCTCACTTGTCAGTTTTCAAGACCAGATTTTTAGTGGACACAATAGGACACTATGACTTCGAAGGCAGAATTGCTCATATCCAAAGAGCATAGCTGGCTGGTTACTGGAAAGATAAAGTCAGATATTACACGAATGCAACCACGCCTATGTCAAGGCATTGGCATCCGTCCATCTAGCAGGGGGACCTCACGTGGAAGCGGGGGGGGGGGTACAGCAGGAAAGGAGAAGTGGTCAAAGTTCAGCTCACTGGATCCACTTTCCAAGGCTGGGCAAAATGAGGAGTAGGCAAGCGCACCCTTGCACGACCTCAGGTCCACCATGTCACCTCCCTCTTCTCATTACCGGTCAGCTCCTTCAAGAAGCAGAGCTGCCAGGGGACAGTCAGGGGCCGCCCTTTACTGAGGACAGTGTGCCAGGTACCGTCCTGGTAGATTATCCCACTGAATTCCTACAGTCAATTTGCAAGGCATATGTCATATACCATCCACACTTCAGGAGAGGAAAATAAAACTCAAGAGATGAAGGGACTTGTGTGTCTCAGGCTGCAGGAACAGCTAGTAGCCTTTCGAATCCAAGCTCTTTCTGTTTGAGTTTGTTTGTTTTCAGTAACTATTACTGGGTTTGCTATTTTTTCTGAATATACAAGTGTTTTCAGTAACTATTACTGGGTTTGCTATTTTTTCTGAATCTAAAAGTGCAGAGCCAGTAAGGGCACAAGCCGGAATGTAAGAACTGGCCGGCCCCTCTGGCCTCAACGTCCGAGGTCTCGGCTCCTCCCCAGCTGACCTCCCTGAGCACGTTTCCTCCTCTCCCGGTCACCCACAGAGACCACCCCCAGTGACAGCTCCAAAGGAGGAACAGCAGGGCAGGAGAAGCTCCCCAGAAACGGCTGCAAACCTGCACTTTGCATTCTGGGGGGATTTGTGCCTCCTGGACTTGAACTGAAACCAAGGGCCTCGCTATCTACATTGAGAAACCAAGCCTGGCTACTGAGTGCTCAAGGCCACTCTGCCTAAGACGATTATATGAGACAAAACACTGGCCTTGGATAAGGGGGTGGGGGTGGGGGGCACCAGTCGGGCGAGAGGGAAGCTGTGCCAAGGCTGCCCGGGGGGGAGAACGGACGTCCAGAACGGCTACTGCTTCCAACTAAGATCACACTAAGAATCACAAGCTCCCACGTGCAGAATCCTTGATGGTCTGTCTGCAGAACAGCTCACGACCACCATCTGTTCCACGCTCTCACAGCTCCCTGGGGTCAACAAGGCAGCTTTTACACCACTTTTGCAGAGGGACAGAAAGATTTCCAGTGACTTGCCCGAGAACACAGAGCTCCCTGGGACAAGACTTGCATGGGACACGCAGTGTCCTCACTCCTAGGCCAGTGTCAACTCCTACAACGTGCTTCATCTCGCCAGACCAACTCCACCGGGAAAGATAATTCTACGGGAAACAGTAACATTAATATTTCAAAGTAAAAGATGGACCACTGGGGAAGCCATCACTTCTTCTTACTTTGGATGAGCGGGTTCCCTTCTATTTGGGGCAGATACTCCCTTCCCCTTGAAGACAAATGTATGACTATTTCACATGGTTACTGTACGATTGCTAAAAATAAATCACAGCTAGACAAAATATTTTTCCTTTCTTTTTTTTTTTTTGAGACAGGGTCTTGCTATGCCACCCAGGCTGCAGTGCAGTGGCATCATCATAGCTCACTGCAGCCTTAAGTCCCCGGGCTCGAGCAAGCCATCCCCCTGCCTCAGCCTCCCCAATAGCAGGGACTACAGGCTTGTGCCACTACACCCAGCTAATTTTTCTTACTTTTTGTACAGACAGGGTCTCACTATGTTGCCTAGGATGGTCGCAAACTTTAGGGCTCAAACGATCCTCCCGCCTTGCTCTCCCAAAGTTCAGGGATTATAGGTACAAGCCACCAAGCTGGGCATTTCTAGAATAAACGCCAGTGTCAATTCAGCTGGTCTTAATCTGGTTAGAGGATTTCGTTTTCCCCTTCATAGAAGACTCTGGATCTTTGATATAAATTTCTGGTGAACTTACACTGAAAAGAACAGAACCCAGGAATACATTTTAGAGAATTTAAAAAAGACATTGAACAGAATGTCTGGCTTCTTAATCCATGGGAGGAAATGCATGAGAAAAAAAGTGAAAGTAATGACGTATACCAGTGGAATCTATATTTATCTTTACATAGACTAAAGTTACTTACATACAGAATCAGAAAACATCAATGCAAGTGTACAAGGAACAGGGTGGGACATGAAAACTAGAGATCTGGGTATCTTTTGCTTGTTTCCCAGTGAAACAGAATATTTGAGGTTACTTTGACATGCAAATTTTCGAGAAAGAAGTTCAGAAACTCTGCCTGAAGTGAATCATCTATGCTTTAGGGAGGAATGGGGGGAAAAACCCACAGAGAAAGCCACGATGAACAACAAGCCTATTTGAAGCAGATTACCCTTCACTGGGCATCACATATCAAAGGCAGGGGCAGACTGCCCAGCCCTAATGACTGGCTGAGAATCCCACAGTGAATGTCTTTTAGCCAATCAACAGCAGCTATGAGACATTTCAAAATATTCACATATGCCAAAATAATTAGTTTATTAGCTATCTAAATTAAGATGATACATATAGAGCCCTCAGAGAGGGGAATGGCTTTTTTGCTTCTCCCCACTTAAGACTCAATGCTGCTAGTAAACTCTCCCACACAGGAAATCCTGGACAAGAGCTTATCACCTTTAACTGATAAAGGACTTAGCCCAAATGCATGCATCTTTATTTCTTCATCCTCAGTCTCTTATTGCTCAGTTCTATTCAATACCAGCCCTGGCAAGATTACTTGTGGATGTGCAGAGGACACAGACAGAAGCGGAGCAAACCAGCTGTACTTTTGCAAGAGAATAAGTCTATCTTGTTTATACTCTCCACTCTTATACATCCTTAAAAATCTCTCGTTGGCCAGGTGCAGTGGCTCACACCTGTAATCCCAGCACTTTGGGAGGCTGAGGCAGGAGGATCCCTTGAGGCCAGGAGTTGGAGACCAGCCTGGATAACATAGTGAGATATCATCTCTACTAAAAAATAAAAAAGATTAGCTGGGCATGGTGGTGCGTGCCTGTAGTCCCAGCTACTGGGGAGGCTGAGGCAGGAGGATCACTTAAGCCCAAGAGTTTGAGGCTGCAGTGAGCTACGATTACGCTATTGCACTCCAGCCTGGGCTAAGGAGCAAGACCCCATATCTAAAAAATAAAAAACCAAACAGAAAACTCTCCTTTCTCGATATTTATTATCTAATACATTTCACCACTCAGCAATTTCCAGAAAGAACATGTTAAGGACCAAACCCAGGTACACGCAATGCCTCATCCATCAACCTTCTTCTATTACTAACGAACCAATAAACCAGAAACGCAGAGTGCTCGCACGTGAGCGCAAGATGATCACTGCCGGCCACAGGGCTGACGGAGGCATCGCCAACCGCCTTATGATTTAGGGACTTAACTCCGCTCCACTAAGCATAAAGAGATCAAAAGATCACCTTTATTACAGGGCAGCCTGTCCCCAGGGTCAGATGATGGGTTCGGCAGTAAGTGCTCCTCTAATCCAGACGGAAACATTATAGATCCCCTGTGCTTCGAAGACACATTAAGAACAAAGCACTTGAACGAGGACTTGAAGGATGAGAAAGCTAGGAGATGTCACGTGCTTTTCCACCAAAGGGGCTGGTGATTTCTACTGCTGTGATTCATCATGGGAAACAACAGCCCAGACTGCAAATGAAACATCTGACATGGATGCTTAGAAGTCATGCTAGAATGAGCTTTTGATGTCTGCTTTCAGTACTCAGGGTCGCAACTGAGGTGTCCCCAATAACTTATTAAGATTAGCTCTGGAGAGTCAAAATGAAGAAGCAACACATGACTGAACAAAATAAGGAAAGCCACATAAAGGAAAGAAGAGTCGCTCTTGGGCCACTGAGTCTAGTCTACAACCTCGATAAATTCATTCACACGTCTAACAAGAGAAGATACATCCATCACAGGAATTCCTGGTCAGCCACGAAAGCCACTAACAGAGGCAGGATCTTAACTGTGAGGACTTCAGGAAAGAGGCAACTTTAGAATAAACAGTCTTTCTGGATTCCAATGTCAAGGAAAGAGCTTCCTAGGCTGGAGCTGAGGCAGACTTGCTGCCTACGGACTCTGAGCATTCCTGGTCTCTTGCAAGATAGCTACTCTCAGGCTGACAATACTAAATGCTAGATTCACTTACTCCTGACTGCAAACCCACACACAACTTGTGATCACGGTTTATCGTAGAGAGGACCTGGTGGTTCTTATGTAATTTCTCACTGAACTGGCATGCTATATTAGCATTCTGAGGTCAAACCCGTGGTGGGAGAAAGAGTACCGTGAGTCTGCCCTAAGACGACGACTTTCAGACCACGGCTCAGCACTACTCGAGTTTCTGTGTCTGCACAGTACACTGGCCAGGGTAAAAAAAATGCCATCCTCCTGTGGCTACACACTAGAACATTTACAAATTTCTATTTGCTGGTCACATGGAGAAGGCAAGAGCATGATCCTCAAGTTCCTCATTGGCAAACTGATAATAATAATTGCACCTACTTTGTAGGACTATTTTGAGGATTCATAGTTTGTGGCACTTAGAAGGACTATGTAAGAGTTTGCGGTGATTACGATCACTGTCACTTTCATGATCAGCATGGTTATCAGCCGAGAAGACACTGAGCTAATGATCACACTCACTCCCCGCATCAGCCATCCGACTCTGGGGAAGGGGAATCTGCTGGGTACCGGCCGTGGGAGGTCCAGGGAAGATGCATCCTGCTCCACGAAGACAGCAAATAAGAGGCCAACACTTTGCAGAGAACCTACAGGGCTCCCGGGCCCAGGGGGAAACTCACCACATAGAGCTTTCGCCAGATGACAGCCCATTCTCGCAGCGTGGACGTGAGCTCCTGCACCAGGGGCAGCTCGCCGGGAATCACAGTCTCGTGCTGCCTAAGGAGAACCAAACGGATGCTCGCTTTACTCCTGGTAGACTGGTGTCATGCCCCTTAATGGGGATCACACTCCGCGACACTCAAGGACAAGAATGGAGCTGGCTGGGCTTGAAACACGCAGAACCTGTCCCTGGGGCAGGGGAGTAGTTTGTGGACGGGACTTTAGGACCTCCAAGCTTCTGAGAAGGGAGAAGGAGCTTAGAACAGCACAGGCCCCCAAATGAACTGTGCTTCTGCCATGGAATGGGCCCACCACTCAACCTCGACCTCCCCATTGTGCATCTCTTTGGGGGCTTCAATTACTGAGCTTCACTGATTCTCAAAGATGGAAGCAAAGAACCCCACATTTTAGCTGGTTCTGCCAAGCAGCTGTCTCATGCTGGAGGGTGGGTGGACAGGTGTGCACGATACACCGGGTCCTGGGGCTGTGACCTCCCCCAGGACCTGCACCCTCTCCCGGAACAGTCCTGGGTCGTCGTCTCAACTGCTGCTTCATGGGGTAGAAAACACACACGTACCACAGTCCTCACCTACTCACAGGAGACTTATGTAAAGGTAGGCACTGCATTTATTCACATAAATCCTCTTTGGTACTTTCATGATGAGCGAAAGGAGGGAGTGAGAACAAGCTAAGAAATGCAGAGCAGTGGCGGGACTGCCAGATGCAACAAGGAGAAACGCAGGATTTCCAGGTGCGTTTGCACCCCAGACAGAGTAAGTATGGCTCATGAACTATCTGGGACATACTATGAAAAATTATTTGTTACCTGAATTGCAAATTTAACAGACTAGGAAAAATTACTTGTTACCTGAATTGCAAATCTAACAGGGCACCTGCATCTTATCCAGCAACCCTAACTGGTGGGAATGTGCCTCTCATGCCGCCTTTCCCCCAACGTGGCAGTGGCAGTCGAGGTAGCCTGGGAATGGCCCACTGGGTTTCTCAGGTGACAGACCACCTGCTTTTTGCTTCTGCCAACAAACAGCTGGGTGAATTTGAGCACATCTCCGCTTCTCGTCTGTAAGATGTTGGTGCTCAACTACAACTGACAATGCTCTTTCCAGCTTTCAGGCTGTGAGGCTCTGGGACCTAGCTGCCCGTGTTGCCCACGGCCCCACTCTCCTCCCCATCTGCCCTGGGACCCCAGCCCTACCCCAGCCCCTCCTTAGATCCTCCAGAATTCTCATGCCTGTACAATCACCTGCTAAGCGGCCTCTCTCTGTCCCTTGGGCTGAGTATCTCACTCTTAACCACCACAAAGGTAGTGCTTTCCAGGACGAATGAAGTGGACAAGTAAGTAATACCCAAAGCGTAACAGATCTCATCTGCAGAGCACACTGGTGCACAGTATGGCCTCTGACCCTCACTCCAAGCTCATGACCAATGCAGGGCCACACTGTTTTCCCCAACTTGCAGTGAAAAAATACCCAAGGTGCACTTGAGGCAAAATGACTTATCTCAGGCTCGGAGCAGGTATGTGCAGGCTGTCACTTATTCGTGTGTCTCTCAAAGACCCCAAATTGGGGGCTTCTTGGGGCTTCTCAGCCAAACAGTTCCACATGTTCATGCATGCAACCTCCTCCCCCCCACACGCAATCAGTGAGAGGTAGCAAATACAAGTTCATTACTTCTGTCTTTAGTATTCTGGGGGAAAATGCCAGGCAGGTGCTATTATAGAAAGAGATGACAGAGGAAGGAATTCTATCAGGGAGAAGTTTTCATTCATTTCTCTGTCATATGAGGAGGAGTGGAACTGATGAGATGAGAGAGAGATGGTACATAAGGTATTCTTTAGTGACAATCTTCTATCTTCGTTATTATTTAGGAATCTTTAAGATTAGAACTTACCCGAGGTCTTCCACAGTTGCCTCCTTCAAATGGATATACGTTTCAGGGAAAATACCCTACAGAGAAAAGAACTGTGATTACATGGCCATTAATAAAAACCTCAGCCCAAAGTCAAGAGAATAAATGAAACCAAGAATAAATGGGAAACACCTGGACAATAGCTAAACCTTGCGGTCAGGTCTGCAGGACATTGGTGACATTGGTCACCTCAGCGGTGGCATGGTGGAAACATGGAACAGGTAGAAATTAAGAATTGGGCTCAACTGCGCACAGGATCAATGTAATAAATGAAATGCTCAGGTCAGCTCAGAGCTACGATAAAGGTAAAGAGTTTAATGACAAGCCCCTAAAACCGCTCACATCCTACATGCCGTGAGATGCTTTCCTTAAAGGGTTTCCCATAACAAGTGAGACAGAGGCTATGCTGTACTCAGCAGCCCATAAAATTTGAGTGATTTTTTTTTTTTTTTTGAGACAGAGTCTCACTTTGTTGCCCAGGCTAGAGTGAGTGCCGTGGCGTCAGCCTAGCTCACAGCAACCTCAAACTCCTGGGCTCGAGTGATCCTACTGCCTCAGCCTCCCAACTAGCTGGGACTACAGGCATGTGCCACCATGTCTGGCTAATTTTTTCTATATATATTAGCTGGCCAATTAATTTCTTTCTAGTAGAGACGGGGTCTTGCTCTTGCTCAGGCTGGTTTCAAACTCCTGACCTCGAGCAATCCGCCCGCCTCGGCCTCCCAGAGTGCTAGGATTACAGGCGTGAGCCACCGCGCCCGGCCGATTTTCTAAAGTAATTCCATTTTGGCTTAAACCGAATGCACCCAAATCAATGAGTGTTAGTTACCTGTTATTTCTATAAAGCACTTCATAGTCTAAAACTGCTGTTTATTCTATTAATATATCCCTAAGAGGCAATTCAACATCAGTACTGTGACACTGCCCACGGGAGGGGGGGGACGGGGGACTAAGGCTCAGAAAGACCTAAGACAAAGACAGGAAACCACTGGGTAGAACTGAAGAATTGAGGACCAGATTGAACCAAGATGAAGCAAGTCCTAGATGTGGATTTTCTTAAATATCAATGGCTTCTGCTGTATCACCGTATGACGTGCTCGGCCACAAGCAGAGAAGACGCCGTCTGGAGAAGGCACTGCTGATCCGTGTGTCGTAGCATTTCTATATAGAAGAGCGAGTGCAGCTGGTGCCATTGGCTCAACTGTTCCTACCCTCTGTAGCTGGTACCATTGGCTCAAGAGCTCGTGTAGCTGGTACCGTTGGCTCAACTGTTCATGCCAAGAGTTGGCATGAACTCTGTGGACGCCATACATCAGGGGTGGCTGGCCACAAAGGCGGGAGGGGACGTCCCACTGTGGTCCAAGACTCGTGTGCACCCAGTAATCCTTACTCCACGCAGAGACTAGAGACGAGAGAACATAGACAGGGGCTGGTCTTGTGTCCAGCTGCATGCACTATATATTAGTCTGTGAAATACTCTCCTTTCTCCCTTTTAATCCTGTGCCAATAAAACAGGCACTCGAGTGATCCTTCTGCCTCAGCCTCCCGAGTAGCTGGGACTACAGGCATGTGCCACTATGCCCGGCTAATTTTTTATATATATATATATCAGTTGGCCAATTAATTTCTTTCTGTTTATAGTAGAGACGGGGTCTCGCTCTTGCTCAGGCTGGTTTTGAACTCCTGACCTTGAGCAATCCGCCCGCCTCGGCCTCCCAAGAGCTAGGATTACAGGCGTGAGCCACCACGCCCGGCCAATGGTGTAGTATTTGCATGTAACCTACACACATCCTTCTGTATACTTTAAAGCACCTCTCGATTACTTATTTTATTTTATTATTTTTTTTGAGACAGAGTCTCACTGTGTTGCCCAGG